GAGGCATGTACTACAATGTGGGCTTCGATCACGTAAAGAGGATGTTACCACTCCTAGGAGGTTGAGTGTACGATTGCGGCTGATAATTCAGGATGTGTTGTGATTAATGCAACAAGAGCTTATTGAGAAATTTGGCTGAGTAGCAGTGTGAGATCATGGTAACTGAGAAGGAGCCTACTGTCTATGATTGGGTCACGTGGTTATGTGCCCTTGCAGTTTCAGGTTATCGGTACATTGGTGGATTCGTTATGACTAAAAGAAGAAAATATCAGGGGTAATTCGAGTAAGGGATTTGATGGACGTGTGCTACGTGTAACCTTATTGATATGTAAGGGATGTAGAATGATTCAGATTTTATACTTTTGGTGGATATGATATACAAGGGAAAGGATTAATTCAGTTGCTTCGTTGGAGTGCTCATGTACTAACGAAGCGCTAGTTTTTGGGTTAAATAATCAGAACTAGATTAGAGTGAGAGATTCTCAATAATGGTTCTAGTGGATTCGAGATTTAAGGTGTGGTGCTTAAGGATTTTTCTAGTTCGTCGTGTGGCTAAGGATCTAATTTTGTAGCAAAGTGCGAAAGGAACTTGGAGTATTTCTATGTTGCCACTGAGTCTGTGGTGCGGTGTTAGAAAAATGGAAGAAACCACTCCGAATTCACATAAGATCTTTCAGAACATGTATATCAGTTGGAGGTACTGTTGAGTGTAGGAGGAGAGTATAAAAATGGCTTATGGGTATTTAGACGATTCGGCCTTATGGCTTGGGGTCACTCGGGATGAGTGTTGCTTGAGGTTCGTTATGTGTTGGAAAAGAGGTATTGCTTCGAAGGCAAGTCAAGAGTAAATAGAAAGAAGTTGAGTCAGCTAGTAGTGATTTGGATCAGCATGGTTTAGAAAATGATCGGTTCCTTCGGTGTAGTAAGGCGATACAGGTGTTCGTGGTTGTACTTGCAGGCTTGGAAGTATTCGTAATTTGGTTGATTTTGAGGTACTTGATTCTGATTGTTTTATTATGTGTGAATGAATCCTGGAAGAGTTATGGCGGTTTAGACCACGACTTGAGGTTTGCGTTTCTGCGGTTTATGGGAATTTGGCTGCGTGTTGAAATTGTTCTTCTGAAATTAGTTAGGTGCCGATGAAGTGTTTATCGTACAGGTAGTTCAAGAGTTGAGATTAGATTCTTGTACTCTCGCGTAATAGCATAATAGGTGCAATGAGCGGTATGAAAATTGAAATTTGGGGATCAAGGTTGCGGTCTAGTTTTGAAAGGAATGTCTTGATCTCCAAGGAGCATGGAAGATTTAAGATGTTCAGAGTATACTGGCGCTATTTTAGTGTCGCCTGAGAATGGTGTTCTGTAACAAAGGCATTTTGTATTGATTTGCAGATTCATGATTTGCATTACAAATAATGTACGGTTGGTAGCCATAGATGTGCAGACTTTGCTACCTAGTGCAGAAGGTTGTGGGAGTATCTCCCACTAGATGATTGTGTAAGTGTGACGTGTCAGTCATTTAAGTGGAAGAGATTGAAATCAGGTATGGAGATTTCGGTGCTGTCGTTGATGGAAGAGTTTATGTTTGAGAGACACTTTATTCCTTTAGTTGCGGACTGTAGAAGTTTGTTCCGGATTTGACGGTTGATCGTACATGTCATGGATAGGGTCATTGTGGATATTTAGGAGGGTATTGACCTATTTTGGAATGAAATCGGCTTTAAGGTCTGTTAGTAGACCTAATGTGTATATATTTTCACAAATCAGATATGCTTATTTGGTGTAACATTGCTTATGGATGAGTCTTCGGGTGTGACGGATGTTATTTCTATTGTCGTCTATTTCATGTGTTACTCTTTCATACCATGTTGGTTGTGAGACAACTTGATTATCACACGTGTGTTGTGATCCTACTTAGCTTGGGTGTCATACGATCGAGATGGCTCTCGATATGCTGGTTGTTTATTGTACCTTAGTCGCTCTTGGCATTTCGTAGCGTGTGGTGCTATCCATATCCCCAGAGCTATGTTAACACTCGGTGTGCTTGTGGTTGATAGACGTGAGTTTAGTGGGTATGAGCATATTGGCTCGATGTATATTACTTATTGATTGTTATATGAGGATCTGGTGGCACGCCGCCAAGGGTGTGATGTTTAGATAGGGTTGCACGCTCTAATAGTGAGATGTCGAGTACGGTTCCTTATTAATTTATGTGTTTTGTTTCTTATCTCTGAGTTAGGTTCATAGCATTTGTTTGGCTGTTTTACTCGTTACGTAGGCCGGATAGTCCTGTATTCCAGTCCGCTTTCCTTATTGGTCATATTTGAGTTGTGGCTGGTTGGCGCATTGATGGCGTCGTATGAAATTTTAGATGGTGTTTAAGGTGGACTTTCGCTCGAACAGCTTGTACTGTGTGAGACGAGGTTGTTGGACCTGAAACTAGTGCAATAAGATTTATATAGTGTGTATTTGGGGGGAGAAATGCCACCGATCAATTCAGAATGAGGCAATGGTTCTTGTTAAGCGAAGAGACTCCATGAGTTTTTGAATTTGCAGGTGGTTATGAGTTTCTACACATCTCTTTCATCCTTGCAGTATTGCGAGGGTTGGAACAGGGATTATATGTGTTATGAGGTATGTCGCGTCCCCTTTTTCTCACGAAATCGGGTTTCGACATTTCTGGGACAGCTCCTTTTTGATAGGGTAAGGAATTGGAACGGATTAAGGTGTGTTAGGGCACCTAGAGCAGATAACTCATGTTGTACTAGTTTACATCACCAGAGATCGGGTAAGGGCTCGAAATTACCTTGAGGGGAAGGTGTTAGGCACCCCTCGAGGTCTGCAACGGTGGGTCCCGACCGAACTTAAATTATGAATTAGTCTAATAAAGAAGCGAGAGGAATATTTAATAGGGATGGGGGGTCCTAAATTTTTTAGCCTAAAGGATCACCCCGTGCAACATAAATAATACTTCATAACTCCCTCAGGTCGGGGTGTTACTCATATTATTCAGCGGGCACAAACTATCATCTCCTGCTACCCGTTTACTATCTTTAAGTTATTACCTAAAGCGCTCTAATTGATTCTAGTTTGATCCCCATATGTGCACTACCCGTCCCTTAGCTATGGCCCTGGAGGTATTAGGACCTCTATTTGGGATAGTTCTAGACCCAGCCTATGTTTCTCAAAAATGTAAAAGACTAGGCGACAAACAAAACATGTTAGGACTTTCAGATAGCAAACAGATATATGCTCATATTGACCTCCGCATATAAACAACAAAAGCACGCAATTGATTCAACAAACCTTATTAACTTTAAAGTCCTATAGGCAGGATGGCTATACGAGAAAAAGAGTGCAGAGGCGATATTATTAAGGCGAGCGTTAAAACCTGTTGTTTGCCTACTGATTTTTATTCAGCATGGTCTGGACAGTTCAGGCAGTAATACATCAAAATTACAAATCCAGAATTATTAAATCCTACAAGTATATTGCCTAAGTGGTTGCCAAGGGCGATTGTATTCAGAATCAATTGATAGAATCCTATAGGCATGATTTCTACAAGTTTGATGATTACAGGCCTATAGACATGATTTCTAGGTGTAGCATTGACTTTAACTTACAGAGATTGGTTATATTCCCTTTTAATCCTATAGGCATGATCTCTAACTGATGTACTTACTTAAGTCCTATAGGCACGATTTCTAGGTTTGAAACTGGTTTTATTCCTATAGGCATGGTATCTACTACTGAATTGATTTAAATCCTATAGGCATGATTTCTAACTGACTTTTTTTCATCCTATAGGTAGGATTTCTAAGCACAGTATAGAACTCATACAGTTTTTACCAAATGAACAGAATTGACAACATAATTAAATCCTATAGACAGGATTTCTACCCAGTTTAGCAAAAGGAAATAAGGAAACCCCCCGGCTTTACTAAATATCCCCAAATCAGTTATTACAAAGTTATTACAGACCAGAATAGTAAATGAATTACATAATAGTAATGAGACACTATAGGGAGCCTTCATTAGGCCCAAATAAACCTGGGAGCCAGGCCTTCCAACCATAACAACTCTGAGGCACAGCATAGTGATGCATCCATAGCACATTTGAACTAGGTTTCCAGTGTGTCAAAGTTCCCAAAGGCCTCAGGGACCCAGGGCAATGCTCACACCAGAACCATACATTTAGAAAATAGCTCATAAGAGATTGGAAAACCAGTCTCCAATGTGTCAGAGTTCACAGGAGTCTCATGTGGACCCCGAGCAGTGCTCACACTGGAGTGGTTGAGATCCTAAGGGACTAAGAGTGGGGGTTTTAAAATCAGTACATAAAAGAGGTAAGGGGCAAGTTTTAAACACTACAACAAAAAGGGTGTTTAGCGGCAATACAAAACGGTTTTAGCGGCAATAACAATAGCCGCTATATCTTTTACCGGCCATTGGTGTTTAGCAGCTGATGTTGGGGTCTCTAAAGCCTTTAGCGGCTATTGTCACAAAAGCTGGTAAAAGGTGTTGTTTATTGCCGCTAAAGATTATGATCTTTAACGGCAATTGTTTGCGGCAATTATAATGGCTGCTAAATCTAATCCATAACGGCTAATTATACTGCTTTAGCAACCATTTTTCATAGCTACTAAATTCAAAATAATTGCCGCTAAAAGTTCACATCATTAACGGCAATTATTATGGCTACTAAATCCAATCCATAATGGCTAATTATTCTCCTTTAGCATCCATTTTTATAGCCGCTAAATTCAAAATAATTGCCGCTAAATGTTCGCGTCTTTAAAGGCAATTATTTTGTGGCAATTAAAATGGCCATAGTATCCCTTCTGAAAACATCTTAGTTTGCCCTTTTAGCTTCCATTCTAATGGCTAATATGTTTAACTAAATTGCCGCTAAAAGTCAATATCTTTAATGGCATTTTGTTTTACATCAATTATAAATAGTTTAGCCACAATTAATGACAGTTACTACATTCGTGCATAATATGACTCAAATAATAAAATATATTAATATTAATTCAAAAAAAACATAATGTATCTCATTAATCTTAACAAACAAAAGGAAGTACTAATCAAAAATATTAATATCACAGTAACTTAAAACGTAAAAATATATTGTTTAGACTAAATAGCTAATGTCATTATATAACTAATCCAAATGATGGTCTTCAAATGATTTCCGCAACTTTTCATCATTTAGAAATCTTTCACCTGCTAAATTATCCAACATCAGACGGTATGACTTGAAATTCTAAAATAATTGTGTCAAAAGAATATCGAAAGAACAAAAATGTTCCAATAATCTATCACCAAGTGCCTGTATAACACATACATGTGCGCATAAGATAAGAAAACGTCTGAAGCAATGACAACGATGCAGCACAACTGGAAGGAAGATACCAGTACTAGCACATGAAATTCAGACAATTAACAACAATAATTGGAAAAGGAACAGCCATCAGAAAGGGTGAACTCTGAATCATTTCAAAGTCTCATCTTTCGTGTATCAACAGCATGGAACTCAAAGCCCTTGCGCAATGACCCAAACGTCATATGGCAGTACAAAGAGCCAAAAAAAGAAGCCAAAACATATAGACAAGAGGGAAACAATTATCACCAATAATGAATCAAGATGGGGAGCTCTAGGTTAACTCCATTCAGTACTTTGTTCAACATAATCTAGAACTTCATCAAAGTGGAAGTTAGCAAAAGTCACCTATCTCTAAATGGATAACATCACAATTTCCATCCCAAATTTATAATTGGATCGTGAGGACATTACATGTAAAATCAAGGTAAGGACGTTCCTTGAACGGTCTCACTATTAGAATGAATCAATGTGAGCAGAAATTTACCCTATCCTGGGAAAATAGGAAAAGGAATAGAAACAAGGGAAAATGGTAGTGAAAATAGAGGAGAAAGTTAAGCAGAATTATCTTCTTTTATGCTTGGTTTGGGTTGAAAACAAGAATGAAAAGGCAAATAGTTTGACTTTTCACTATCACTGATTTAAGTTTTTGGGCAAAGAAGAAAATGATACTCTCTTATTTTAATCCCCTAATTGTTACAGCACCAAAGCAAGAGGCCTGAAAAGACAGAGCAACCTCCATCCTTTGCTTGGTTTGGGTTGAAACGAGAAGATAGAGCAGTGTGGAGGAGTGATGTATTTAAGCATAACCAACGTCCAACAGAAGAGCGCTTGAATATGAAGAAGGGAGGTCACAAGTACATAAGCGAAACACGTTTAGGTAAGTTAAAATAATCAGTGCTTCTTTCACTTTAAACAGAATACTTTCTTTAAACAGGAAATATGGAACTTAGTGTAGAGAAATAAAAGATTGTGTTTTATTTCTCTACACTAAATGGTGTAAGACAAAGACCATTTGGAAGATGGGTTGCTGAGATAAAGGACTCATCCTAACGTGTAAGATTATGGCTAGGAACATATGATACTCCTGAAGAAGCTGCTCGTGCCTACGATGAAGCTGCTCGAGCCTTACGTGGGGAAAATGCATGAACAAATTTTGCTTCTACTCTCTCAAATCCCAACTCAGATCATGATCAATCAATAAATATGTTGCAATCAAATGATAGCAAACATGGTCTCAGTTTTTCTTCACTAAAAGCTAAACTAAGCAAGAATTTACAAAGCATCATGGCTAGGAACTCAGAAAATAAGTCGTCATCATCCAAGAATACAGTAAGTGACCATTTCACATTTGCTAGAATTTTCCACTTCAAGAACAATTATCACCAATACCAAAGTCATCATATGGACATTAAAAAAATAGATAAAGTTGTGCAGCCAAGTATTAGAGTACTTCCACATGTAACTGATAAAACAATAATAATGATCTATCATCTTGGAAAAATTCAAGTGTGTCGGATTGTAGCAGTGAATGGACTGCTTTTAGACAACTTGCGCTGGACTCAGATAATGGATCATCAGATCCAGTGAATATTTTCTTGGATCAGATCAGATATTGGCTCCTTCTAAGTTCTAGTTGGAACACTATATTTTCTATTTCCACATTTTTATGCTGAGCAAGAACTTGCTCAAGGTGTACATGTGATATAAAGAAAAAACTACTGCTTGTGATGGACTCAGACCTTTTTACTTGGGAGTATTTATACTTTATGCACAGTTGTTTGATTCTTGTTAGGACATTCTTCTGTAACTTAACCAATTTGGATTTACTTGGAAAAACTACAGCAGTCCAGATATTATGAGTGGTGGAAGCAGCGGCAGTAGCAGTACAGAAGGATCAAGAAGCAAGAGGTTTAAGGTTTCTTCTTCTGTAATGGTTCCTCCTACTTTTAGTGAATCTCCCTTACGTAGTTCTATCCTTTGTGTATCAGTGGCATGGATTTGGTTTCATGCAAAAACTTCATCGATTAACAACCGGAGGACACAAGAATTTTGGAGCAAACAGTGCAAGGCCAACTATGCGCAAAAGTGTAGGACATAGAACTAAAAACCTATCAAAATAGAAAAACTTAAATAGCACATAGCTAATATATTTAAATTTGTCTGCTACATTCTTTCCTTGTTTACAAGAAGGAAACTCCTAGGCAGGCTATAATCGAAATGTTCAACACATGCTAGTATATCTTGTACTTCTAAATATTCTCACAACCAATGCGACGTCAACAACAGTGAGGGAAATATAAAAGCAAGAAGCATCCAAGGTAAGCCTAAATACAACAACAAATTAATAAAAATCGAAGGAGGAAAACTCAAATAATAGTGACGAAGGACAAAGATGAGTAGTACCATGAGAAGGTTGACCGTTTTCAACAACACTAGGCATTCTTGATGTTTGTGGTACTCGTTCATGTCCACTATTGGCATCAGGGATCTAATAAATATTAACATGTTAGATAAAAATACTTTTATATGATTAGAATTTCATTAAAAATGTCTAAAGCTTATGAAATGGAGTTACCTGTTCGCCTGAGGTGCCATTGCTACTTTGAGGCATAGATGCATCAGGAGCATATTTACGCATGAGTTGTCTCATTTGGAGTAATTCTGATTGCATCATCTCCTGATTTTGTTTCATCATACTCATTTCTTCATTTTGTTTCTCCTTTAACTCGATTATCTTCTGTTCTAACCTTTGTATAACCTCATTAGAAGAATCATCTGCAATAATATTTCCTAAGGAAGACCTACTACCCCATAGAACAGAAGGAGTTGGACCAAGTCCTAAACCACGAACATACCCACTTTTTTTATTTCCCAACACCTGAGAATACACATCGCCTTCCCAAGCAACACTACGAGGAGGTTGCTCAGTAGATCTCTCACTATTGCTCATCCTTTCATTTATCATTTCCTGACCATAGAATATACAATAAATCAATTTTGGAATTCATGAGCAGGAAAAAATGCACATTGTTTGATGGAGTTATCAAACCAACAAAATAAAATAAAGAATAAATCTTACGATTGTCTTGACAGAATCATCATCCAGTGGCCTACCATCCTTACGTTTTTATGAGTTAATAAGAAAATTTCTGCTCGTGTAGGCTCAATCCCATTTACAGCCTAATACAATAAAAATGATATCAGATATGCATGACAAAAAAAAGGTTTAAAATATTATAGTTTGTAATTTTCACGAGTTCACCTGCTCATTCATCAAGGTAGAAATACTTTTGGATCCTCTTGTGTGAGGTCTTGTTTGCTTGGCCCTATTGTTTCTATTTGCTTGTGTGCGTGTGACGACCCGACCCGTCGTCTCATGTATTACAGCCCCGTTTCCCACATTTACTGCTTCTTCATGTTTCATTATCAGCAACGAGTGAGTTATAGTTGAATTGAATTGGTTTGGATAGGAAATGAGACACTTAGTCTCTTTAAGGAAGGCTTAAGTTGGAAAAGTCAACCGGACGTTGACTTATGAGTTAGAAGGATCGGATGTGATTTCCGGTGATTCGGTTAGCTTCGGGGGATGATTTGTGACTTAGGAGTGCGATCGGAATTGATTTTGGAGGTTCGGTGTAGAATTAGACTTGAATTGGCGAAGTTAGTATTTTGGCAAATTCGGGTTGACAGGTGAGATTTTGATCCGAGGGTCGGAATGGAATTCCGAGAGTTGCTGTAGCTTCGTTAGGTGATTTTGGATATGTGTGCAAAATTTCAGATGATTCGGAGGTGATTTGGTTGGGTTTTGATCAAATGTGAGTTTCGGAAGTTTTTAAAGAATTTAGGCTTGAATCCGATGAGAATTGATGATTTTAGTGTTGTTTGATGTGTTTTGATGATTGGAACCAGTTTGGATGATGTCTTAAGACATGTTGGTGCTTTTGGTTGAGGTCCCGGGGGCCTCGGGGTGGTTTCCGATGGCTATCGGGATGAAATTCAAGTTGAGGAAATGACAGATTTTGCTGGTATCTGGTATGTTCGCTTCTGCGGAAATGGACCGCATAAGCGGTTCCGCAGAAGCTTATCATTGGCCGCAAAAGCGGTCTGGAGTGGAGTTGGGCAGTTCCGCAGAAGCGGAACACTTTTCGCTTAAGCGAGTCCGCAGAAGCGGACAGGCGGTCGCAGAAGCGGGTTTGGCCAGGAGGTGAGCTTCCGCAGAAGCGGAAATTTGTGTCGCAGAAGCGGCCCTTGAGTTTTAATGAAATTCCGCATAAGCGGACAAAAATCGCAGAAGCGGTTGCGCGGAAGCGGGCGTGGGGACCGCAGAAGCGGAAACCCCTGAAGCCAGTAGGAGTTTTATATTCATTTTGTTCCGCGAGGGTTATGTTATTTCCACCATTTTTAAGCGAGCTTGGGAGCTATTGGACGGAATTGAAGGGGGATTTCGACTAGGTGTGATTGGAGGTAAGTCCCTTGGCCTAAATACATGGAACTTTGATAGATTTAACATGGAAATTGGTTGAAATTCTTCAAAAGGGGGTAAAGCTAGGGCTTGAGTTTTTGATATTTTAAATTGGGATTTGATAGGTCATTTGAGCTCGGATTTGGGAGTTCTTGGTATGTATGAACTCGTGGCGAGACGAGGAATCCGGTAATGTGAGTTTTGTAATTTTTCGAGAAGTGGGCCCAGGACTCGGGTTTTACTAGTTTCGAGATTTTTGCTATATTTTGATTGTTTTCGATTGGGTATTGTTCCCTTGGCATAGTGTGATGTATTCGCTCTGATTTTGGTTAGATTCGACGCACGTGGAGGCCGATTGGAGGGGCAAAGGCGTCGCGGGCTAGAGATTTCGCCGGTTCGAGGTGAGTAATACTTGTAAATGATATCCTGAGGGTTTGAAACCCCGGATTTGCACATCATAGTGCTGTATTGTGGTGACTTGCACGCCAGGTATGAGCGTGGGGTAGAGCACCGTTGGGGATTGTGACTTGGTCCGTCCCGGTTGTTGATTTTACTGCGTAATTGACTGAAACCTACTTGATGCTATCGTGATTTGGGTTGATTGCCATGTTTTGGGCTTCGTGCCGATTATTTGAATCCTTTAGGGATTATTATCACTGTTTTCATGACACTTAGCATATTAAATGATTTCAGTCCTGAGTTAAACCCTGTTTTGAAATGTGCAGTCATATTGTTAAAGTTTAAAGACTTAAATTGCATTTTTCTGATGTTTTGAGTTAAAAGCTATTACTTGACATTGCCCGAGTGGCTCATTTGCATGTTCTGGACTGAGGATGGATCGGGCTGCACGCCGCAGCGATACTATGATGATATTGCGCTTGGGCTGTAGGAGCCCCTCCGGAGTCTGAACCCCCACAGTGAGCGCGGGTACCCAAATGGATCGGGCTGCGCGCCGCAGCGGTCATATGCATTGCATTGCATTCATGCATTGGTTCCTGTTTGTAATACGTGTCATGACATTCAGCACTCTCATTTCATTGGCATTCATGCTACATCTTGCATTGTTTACCAGACGCCCTGATGTTAATTGTTAGTGGAGTGCTGTGCCCGAGGGGCTGACTTATGTGCGGACTTGCACTATCTGATTACGCATTCATTTGCTTGACTGTTGGAAAAGGATATTTTCAAAAGAGGTTTTTAAACTGAGCAGATATTTTCTAAAGGATTTTTTTTTCACGGTTTTACTGTTTTCTCAAAGGGGTTGTACTGTCCTATATAGCATGATGGAGTGCTCTTACGTGATTTCTTGTCTCTCAGTTATTATTTACTCTTATTACCACTGAGTTGGAAGTACTCACTTTACTCCCTGCACCTCGCGTGCAGTTGCAGGTATTGTTTCACCCGGTAGCGGGTGATTAGCGGACTGAAGGTAATACTAATGTAGCTGAGCAAGGTGACCGCCAGCGTTCGCGGCACCGGACTTATCTTTTGGATTCTAGATTTCATTTTATATATATATGACCCTGTAGTCGTATTCCTACTTCTTAGATGCTCATGACTTGTGACACCCCGGTCGGGTAGTAATTAACAGTTTCTAATGCCATTAAGTTGTATCTTCTATTCATTTATGTTTAACAATTGTAAGTGAAAGGATTTGGGTTAGTTGGCTGACCTTGTCTTCACGAGAGGCGCCATCACGACCTGGTACCGGGATTGGGGTCGTGACAAGTTGGTATCAGAGCCTAGGTTACTAGGTCTCACGAGTCACGAGCAGGTTTAGTAGAGTCTCGCGGATCGGTACGGAGACGTCTGTATTTATCCTCGAGAGGCTGCAGAACCTTTAGGAAAACTTCCCATTCTTGGAATTCTTATCGTGCGTACTTGATTCAGCTTGATATATAACTCTTGAAATTCCTTCCACACGTCTGTATGCACACGTGAGCGCTCAGTATTATATGTGCCTTGATGGTTTGTGATTCCCCGATCGAGGGGCGAGATGTAATCTTCGTGAGTATGTTGGGCCAGTCTGGAGGACTTGAGGCCGGATCCTTGCCTATGGCTTGAGCACCGAGGTGCTGATTGTGTGAGCGAGTGTTTTGAACGTATATGTTCGGTATTGTCCCTATTAGCCGGAATGGCGGTGGGAAATCCATGTGATGAGTATGTTAGTACAGCGAGATGTGTCTATATGACTTGGTAGTGACGAAGAAGTCCGCAGGATAATAGATGAACTGTTAAGTGATTCGACTCCTATTGTGGATTGATGTGTAGCCCGAATTATGGGCGCGTGAAGAACATTTTCGTATCTCCTAGTTGGGAAGTGAAGTGCATTGCATGCGGCGGTATGAGTTCAGACTCAGGAAGACTAATGACTGAGTAACGTATATGATGGTGAAAGGTGTGCTGAAGTACTAAATTGAGGCGAAGCAGGGGTCATCTCCTGCGGAGTGTTCTTGAGTGGTATGGTCCTTACGTGTATGTTAGAAGATCTCATGTGTAATTGAAGGGTATGTGTTGAAATTTAAAAATTCGGGTCGCTTAAGAGAGTGGACTCAGTTGATGTGGGGATAAATGCGAGGGTTGTAGAGGATTTCAGTACTAGATGATCTTTGTTTTCACAAACTTGTAGATGATTTGAGTTTAATCTCACTATGACATTGTGGCATCATTAGAGTAAAAGTGTTATGAGTTGTTAAGTGTGTTTTGATATATGGCTTCGAGCCAAGTTGGGGAGGTTGCTGTTGATTAGCTGATTGCACGGTTACGTGCTATGTTGGTTACGTCTCGAGGTATGCTGGCGAATTGGTTCTAGTTGCAGAAATTGAGCCGAGGATGGGCGAGTGAAGCAAAATTTCGACAAAGGTTATATTATGTTCCCATAGGGTATGAGAGTTTCGGAATGTCTAGAGTTGTTATTGGTAAAGAATGCTCGGTGCATAGAGCAGGAAGTTGCTTGGTTGTATTGGGATGAGGGTCTCATTTTACGGTATCGGAGTGTCAATAAAGCACGAGTGGTTCTGTTCGTTAAATCGGGTAATTTGCAGATGAACAAGAGAGAATGACTCTCGAGAATGGTTTTAATGTGTTCAAGAATCTACATGTAGCACTCAGGTGGTTTAAGGTGGTGTATGTGACTAAAGACTGTGTTTTCATTAGAAAAGATCAAGACTTGTGGTATTTTTATGTTGATCATGGGATCCTATGTGTCGGTACCTGGAAAGTAAAGGAAGCGAATTTAGACTCGCAGGAAGTTCTTCAGAGTAAAGTATTCGGGAATGTGGTATTTCTGGGAAACAATTGAGAGAGTATTCAGTGGCCTATGGGTCTTAGACAGTGTGGTCTTATGTTCGAGTCTCGTGTGGTAAGCTTGGATTGAGGCATTGTGATGCTACAGCGAGGGAGAATATCAAGTGGATGATGAATCAAAAGGGAAATTAGATAGATGGAATAGCTTGACAGTAGACCGAATCGGTATGGTAAGGATGTGATTAATTCTTCGTATGTGTTCGAGGTAATGGCCTTTTACAGGTATTGTGCAGCAAGGCTCTTGAGTTCTGACAGCTTGCTTAGCTTGGTTTGGGTAGAAGGATTCAGTCCTGGTAGTTTAGCTTGTGCAATGGAATTGGGAGAGAGTTCTTGATGAGTTTTACCGTGGTTTAGAGACGTATATATTGCCTATGGGCATGCGAAGCACGGAATGTGTAATGATTCTCTTCTTGATGGGATCGATGGAGAGTTCTTGACTAGTGGAGTACGTAGATGTTTGTGGTTAGGAAGGGAGATGGAGTTCTCATGTTATACTAGTGTGGTATGGTATATGCGATATGTGGTGGAGGATTGGGATTTGTGTGTGTAAGGTTACGGTTCTGTTCATAATGGAAAGTCGTTAAATTCTTAAGCAGCACGGGCAGCTGCAGGTGATTAAAGAATCGATCTTCAAATGATTAAGGAAAATGGTATTGCCAACCATAGTGATTCGACGGGGGTATATGTTCCAGAAAAAGGGCAATGTGATGTAAACTGATAATACTTCGGTAGTGTTGCGGCATTTGGGATCGACTGGTGATATCTGAGTTTGTTTGATGGCACAAGAAACTTTAGAATACCTTTCGTGGGATGATTGGGTACTTGAGGTGTGATATGTATTCGTACGGCGCAATTTGGGATCAGGTATAGTGATTTGTGTGCTATATGGAGTTGGAGACTAGGAGTTCTCGTGTTCAGGCTATGCAGTTGTTGTAAATCGTGTGTATCGGCACCGTCTAGCGGTTATTGGGAATTAGAGGTCCGAGTGGATCTTTCTTTGCTTGGTATGCCAAATTTTGGATATGATATTGGATTGTAGGCTGGTTGTCTCAGNGGACTTATTTTGAACCCATCACTCTTTTATGAGCAGCATGAGAAGAATTCATTGGCTAAAGAAGTGTGGACAGGATTCCATCAGGTTGTTATCAAGTTGAACCCAGATGAAGACTTGCAAGAAAAGATAGTAGATTAGTTTGCTACTTACAAGGCAGCTGAAGGACTTTTTAAGCTTCGACTTGCTATTAAACAAAGAACGACAAAGTCGCCAGGTGACCAAGTGTTTCTATATTTTATAGCTCTAACTTCAATGTATTTTTTATACTTATTAACTCTTGAATATTTTTTTGACTTCTATAGTTGAATGGTGGGACCAATATGGTGTAGAGACTCCGGAGTTACAGACTTTCGCCATCAAAGTTCTAAGCTTAACTTGTAGCTCATCCGGATGTGAAAGGAACTGGAGTGTTTTTGAACACGTGAGAAATAAAAAGAATTATTTCGTGTTTTGAGATAAAGTAGATTATATCTCAATTGTCCAAACTCCTACTAAATACTAATTAGTTGACACATCTTTTTTGCAGATTCATACAAAGAAAAGGAATCGACTAACCTTGAAGCGACTCCATAATCTAGTGTTTATAAAATACAATAGAGCATTGAGGCGTCGGTACAACCACCGCAATATAATTGATCCAATTCTTTTGGACAATATTGATGAGGCTAATGAGTGGCTAACCGGAGTCCCCGAAAATTGTGAAGATGAAGAAGTATTTGAAGGCGACTCCGATTTCACTTGGGGTGATGTTGCGGTTGGTAGTGGAGTTGGGGAGAATCCTTATGGTTTAAGGAGATATACTCCAAGTTCAAGCTCTATTAGGAAGGGAAAAAGTGTGGCTACTACAAGTCGATCCCTATCCCTAATTGATGAAGAGGAAAGTGATCATGAAGAGGAGGGGGAAGAAGAAGATGACGAGCAATATGAAGATACTAGAGGAATTCAAGATTTTGACAATCTTGAAGAAGAAGAAGAAGAGTAGAAGAATAAGATGTTGATTGACTTCTAGTAATTTAGTAGCTTTGATTTTGCTTGTCCTATGGTTTGTGGATGATTTGGTGGTACCTAGTACCTAATTTTAAGTATTTAAATTGATGTTTTTGATTATTTATAATTTTACATTATGTTTTTTAAGAATTGCGCTTCACTTTAATAAAGCGTGCGCTTCGCTTTGCGCTTCGCTTTTGAAGCGAGGCGAGCCCTTGTCGCTTTTTTGCGCTTTGCGCTCTCAAAAACACTGGACCCTGTAGTCGTGTTCCTACTTCTTAGATGCTCATGACTTGTGACACCCCGGTCGGGTAGTAATTAACAGTTTCTAATGCCATTAAGTTGTATCTTCTATTCATTTATGTTTAATAATTGTAAGTGAAAGGATTTGGGTTAGTTGGCTGGCCTTGTCTTCACGAGAGGCGCCATCACGACCTGGTACCGGGATTGGGGTCGTGACAGTACGTCTCCGTCATTGAAATAATAAAATGACATCTTATAAATTACAAAAAAATTGAGCATAACTAAAATCAAAACGCTATAAAAATAAGCAGACTAGGAGTGTTTTCAAGGTTGATACCTTAGCTTTATCAGAAAGCCAATAAGAGACAAGACCACTCCATTGATCTCTCGGTATGCCGCTTGGTCTATTTTTTAGCAAAGCGTCTTTAGTCTTATATTTTTGCGCATACTTAGCCTTTAAATCACACTTGAAGTCTTTCCATTTCTTTCCTAGTGACTTTAAGATCTATGCTTCTCCACGTTTTGGAATAGAGAACTTCTTCTGAAAAATAAAAGTCAACATTTAGAAGATAACATCACGCATAAAAGATTGAGCCTTTTCACATAATAATAATGATAATAACTACTCCATACCCTCACAAAATCAACCAATTTCTTCTTTTCCTCGTCAAAATTTCTCCAATCATCTACATGTAGAGGTGTTAGTTCTGGAGTTCTGGCAATAATTCTTAGAAAGCTAGCAAGCTTTCGACCCTCTTTCCCAATAGTTTGGTTACGATTATTGAACGGTACATCAATTGTCTTTCCTGGTGGAAGTTTCCAAATATCTTTTAGTAAAATAGGCCCACGAACCTTTCTTGCTTCCGAATTACCTAGAATGAAAAATATCTGAATCATCCGGTGATTTAAAGAATCCACAGTCATCTACGTTAGCATTACGCTACCGAAAGAGACTAGTAAATCATGAATATTACTGTAAATGTAAGAATAACCAAAAAAACAGCAATTTTCAATTTCCATAGATGACGAAATAAGAACCATGCCCCTGCCAAAATTATTTTTCGTACAAACTTGATTAGCCTCACACTTCATTAAGCAGAATGTGACAACTTCACCACTAAAAGTGTGAATTATAAAAGTGACAACTTCATTGTTAATGCATCTATAAAAGAAAAAGAAAAAAGGTCAGGGCGTCATTGAATCTTTTTGCAAAAAAACTAGGCCCTTGTGCAAGGACTTTAACATCCTTTAAGATGTTAGATGTGGCTTCCTGCTCCTTTACCTAACCAAATAGAAAGATACAACTATAAATGTAGATATTTCTACAAGGACAATAATTTAACTTAGCCAACGATTTAATCACTTACTTGCTCCTTGAACCACTCATGAAATGTATCGAAATGCACACGGTCAAGTTGATGTTGTGTCAAACGACGCTTACGATGTGATCTTTTGATTTCAGCAATATGTTCCGTACTGATGTGACTCGCAGATATTATTTTGTTATCAAATAAGTCATACATATATTCAATAATAGATATAACACTTACTTTTTATAATTCTCAACCACCTCTGAATCGCAATTGAAAAGCACATGCCGATGTGCTTGCAACCATGTTTTCTCATCCAACTCAAATACATCTACTCCACCATATGACTCCCCAACAGTAGGAAAAAGACATTTTTCTTTACTAGTAGCATGCTCAACATTGTTATCGCATTTTCTTGAGCAATAAAATCTTGAATCTCCACCCTCCAGATATCGTGAGCAAAATGCCAAGCATTCATTAGCTACATATGCCTCTGCTATTGAACCTTCTGGGCATGCACGATTACGAACATATGATTTTAACATACCTAAGTACCTATATGAAATAAAGTAATATTATTAGTTTGATATTATAATATTTAATGACTAAGTATATTTAATAAAAATTCACTGATATTCTTCATACCTCTCAATTGGGTACATCCAGCGATAATTTACTGGCCCCGCATGTTTAGCCTCAGTTGCCAAGTGAATAACCAAGTGTACCATAACAGTAAAGAATCCTGGGAGAAAGAGTTTCTCCATAGTAGACAATATTTCTGGAATTTTTTCTTCAAGTAACTTTAACTCATCTAGTTTTAGCTCTTTGCTACACAGAACACGAAAGAATGTGCATAGTTCAATTATAACTGAACTAGAAGTTCTTGCATTATAACATGGCAATCATGAGTTTTTAGCCCAGATATCTTTCGTTTGCGAATGCAACATGAGATATTAGATGCATAGCCATGTGGAAACTTGGCATTTTGTAGTACTTCATAAAATAACTCCTTTTCATTCGGAGACATTGTGAAGAAAGTAGCGAGAAGATATGCTCTCCCACTAGCTCGATATTGAGGCCATAAGCTTGGTCTTATTTTCATCTCCTTCAAGTCTAGTCGAGCTTCTAAGTTGTCTTTAGATTTTTTACCAAGACCCAATAGTGTATAAATTAAATTATCACACACATTTTTTTCTATGTGCATCACATCAAGATTATGGCGCACCAAGTTAGACTCCCAATAAGGAAGATCGAAAAAAATGCTCCTCTTTTTCCATGTATTTTTCATCACCCCACTTACCCCTTCACTCGACTGGCCGAGAGTAAACTTTATATCTTTAATTTGATTCAGCACCAGTGACCCAGATACTGGACAAGGTGCATATCTTGTTTCTTTAGTCCCATCAAACGATTTAGCATCATTTCGATATTTATGTCTCAATTTCAAGAAGCGTCGATGCCCCATGTAACAAAACTTGTTGCCATGTCTGAACCTTCTAGATTGAGTGTTTATGTTGCAAGAAGGGCATGCAAACCGACCATAAGTGCACCATCCAGAGAGAGTACCATATGCTGGAAAATCATTTATAGTCCACATGAGAGCTGCTCGCATTTGAAATATCATCTTAGCAGAGGCATCATATGTTTCTACCCCGACATCCCATAATTCATTTAACTCTTCTATTAAAGGTTGCAAAAAGACATCAATATTATTGCCAGGTGCTTTCGGTCCAGGAATAAGTAAGGACATAATGAAGAACTCTTGCTTCATACACATCCATGGTGGAAGATTATATGGCATTAAAATAACTGGCCATGTACTATGAACAGTTCGCATTGTACCAAATGGATTAAACACACAGAAGCTAATCCTAGGCGGATATTGCGAGGATCTCTAGCAAATTCGGGATATTTACTATCAAAACTCTTCCAAGCTTCAGAATCTGCAGGATGGCTTAGAACTCCATCTTTGTTGCGCTCTTCATGATGCCATCGCATTGCTTTAGATGTTTCTAAAGACATAAACAATCTTTGCAGCCTTGGCTTTAAAGGAAAATACCTTAGGACCTTGGCTGGAATTTTTTTAACATTATTTTTCCATCTAGAAGCCCCACAAATTTTGCACTCATTGACATCCTTACTAGCAAACTCTTTCCTAAAAAGCATGCAATCGTTCGGACAAGCATGTATCTTTTCATATTTTAAGCCCAAGCTTTCAACTATCTTTTTGGTCTCATAGAAAGAAGGAGGCAATGTTTTCCCCTTCAGGCAACACATCCTTCAATAGTCCAAGCAAAGCATTAAAAGATTCGTTTGACCATTTGAACATGCATTTTGTACGATAGATATGCAGCAAAAAGGATAGTTTGCTAAACTTCTTGCATCCAGGATATAGTTCTTCATTAGCCTCCTTCATGAGCCGTTCAAACTTATCCACCTCGGGATAAGGTTGATTTCCAAATGGATGAGCAGTATTTTCTTGTAGGATTGGTTCCATCTGACCTCTTTCACTAACATCAGTCTCCATGAATTGTGTAAAGCCTCTAAAGACATCATGTATCATTCCTCTCATATCATCGCCCCTTAAAGTTGATTGGCTGTGATTTTTTACTTGAATATTATTTGATGCCTTTAGAGACTCCCCATGACAAAACCAAGTATCATATGAAGGAATAATACCATTAACCACAAGATGATCATATGTTGTAGCCCGATTTACTTGATGGATAAGGACACATTCCACACAAGGGCATAATATTTTCTCTCCATCTTGTTTTACAGAAAAGGCGTGGTTTAAAAAATCTTCTACCCCATTCAAGTATTCTTTACTAACTCTATCACAATACATCCATCTCTTATTTCTAGGAATGTCCATGACATTCAAGATATTCTTTTCTTTTCTGCAATTATTATAAGAGCTAAAAATACATTAGTAAAAAAGGAGAAATTCTTAGTGAATTAAAAAACGAGGAAGAAGAAGACAAGATAATAGATAATCGAGGTTGATTCTATCATAAATAACTAAATGCTAATAACAAATGCATGTAACTCCTTTAAATTGACTTAAGTAACAAATTTGAATGAGTTATTCATTCAAATAAAGGATTAAATCGCAAAATCCTCATTCACATTAATAACAAGGATGAACTCACAGAGAAAACGAACTGATTTTAGTAACGAGAATCTAACAACTAAAATGTCTTTGCGTTAGAAGGATTTATAAAAATAAAACTTATATTCTCTTGCTACACATGTAATTCGGTTAAATAATAGTTTTCCTCAAAATTATCACTTCTAATTTATGAAGTGAGACACTTCAAACTGCTAGCTTAGATTTGGTAGTTTGGACATGCAATAGAACTCTAGTTTTAATTCAAAAACAACGACTGAACTGATGAACAAGATACGTGAGACATAAGAAAACACATATTAAATTAACATTTGCATTACTAACTTACGTTAGGTGAGCGAACAGAAACTAACTTATCATTCCAACCGGAGAGTTTAATATTTAAACGAATAGATTTAAAATTTATCATTCTTTTCTTAACAAGTAGCAATCTTAAAAGACATTCGCATAGTATATCAATCATTGAGTAATACTTTCATGATTTAAATTGCAAAAGGCGAAACTAGAACTAACAATATTTTTATAACAGAATCCAAGTCACAAATATATCTGGAAAAAATTAACATAGTCAAATCAATAGAGCATTAAAACGAAGAGATCTCGAAAGCTAACAAACCGAATAGTTCACATCCACTTAAATCCACAATTCAAATAGAATTACTTTATGCTTAAATTAACAGGATTTTCTTTAAGTATATTCTGCTATGAATAACTTTTAACAATCGAAAGTAAGCATATAACATTAGGGAAAACAAAGAAATCAATTCAATCAGTTGCCCGCCAATTTAACAACATCCAATCACAAATCGCAACATAGCTGACACAAAAAATTATCACACAAACTGCCATAGTAAGACATCATACATTGGCTTAGGCTCAAAAGTTAGGGTACCTGGTAAGCAGAATACTTTGATGATGAAGATAAAAAAGTGAAGGAGAAGAACAATTTCAGCAACAATCTCCAAACCTACATAAAAAGAAAAAATTGAGAGTTAAACAACAGCGATGTCTCAATAACTTTTAAAGCAACAGTAAACAAAATTAGACATTTGACTGATTTCCTCCTTGTATGCTTAAATCTTTACCTTATCAAAAAGAATATGCTCAAGCATTTCCTTCAAACAGTAAAGCTAAAGCAAACATATTATTTTAGTGAAATGCAATATTTTTGTGTTCAAACATTGCTAAATTTAAAGGTAGGATCATTGCTTATACAGAAATATATGAAATCTCTTATAATAAGACTTAGCTAGTCAGTTTCTGAAAACCTTATTCATACCATTCTGGAGAGTTCTTGTTGCAGGTTGTGGATATTCATGGGAAGTGCTACACTCTGTTGTACTCTCAAATTTTTGCCAATACATGTGTAGTGAATATGGCCCATGAATATTTATACATATTATCATTCATCAGTGATTAATCCTAAAACTTCTTTTGTTTCTGTATGGGGGAAAATAGGATTTACTTTGCTGCAGGTTTTAAATCTTATGATGTCAGACGACTCAAGTCTAGGGCAGAAACTTGGCTCGAATGGGTGGAAAGGAGCCGTAATCTGATGCGTAGAACAACCTTCAGCTGAAAATCCATGGAATGGCTATGTTTTGTTCTTCAGGAGGCTTCCAGAGATGCTGGTACACATGTAAGGAAATGGAAATTCAAAGAGCAATATTCAATCCTTTTGGCTCCCGGAAGAACAACAAGTTTGGAAGATTATAAGCTTTGTTTCAGTCCAAGGCGACAAAG